CGAGACAAAACCTCTCACACGTGGCTATGGCACATTAAAATCATTTTAGGAAGTTCCGTGCAGAGCAATCTGAACATGAGCTAGAACACCTAAAAGAACAGGAATTACAGAGTGATTGGAACTGATATCTGGCAAAGAGGTTTTTTGTTTTTTGTTTTTTTTAAATTTGCCAAAGAAAGTGAACGCCAAAGATAAACTAATGAGAAGTTGAGAAGAGAGAAGACAATATGCTACTAGCCGTGGTCTGAAAGTCAACTACGAATCAGCTCTCACTCCCCATCCCAGGCGTAAAAAGAACAATCCCTACATAAAGGGGTGAAAAAATATAAAAAAAAAAGAAGCAGAAGTGTCTCTTACCATTCCTTGCCACTTGCACTAAGAAATTCTACATTCTCACAGTTCCTAAATTTTATTCAGCACTCAGTGGTTGCCTACCTAGCTTGACAGCTATTTTACCACTCTTCCCTGGCCTGTTACAGTTTTTCTCACTGACCTCACCATGAGTGAGCAAATTATTTTAGCAGAAACAAAAAGAGAAGTGAGATTTGGTCATCATCACTAAATGGCACGTTATATCAGTGCACCTTCAAGGTAGGTTTAGATGCAGGCTAATGATTTTTTAATTAGCAAACGTTGAATGTGGTAGGGCCGTATGGTGGGTGTCACCACTGGGTTTTCCTATTGGTTCTAATAACTAGCAGTCATTTATCTCTGATCCTTGGTTGTGTCATCAAAATGTTGGGAACTGAATTATAAAGTCTCCTGCATCCTTGGCATTTTCCAAATTCTGGTTTTTGTCTGTGACACACCTGAAATAATTCAGACCACCAAGGGATTCTCTTTTATTAGAAGGCTAAATAATTAGAACGGTTAAGGTAAACAATAGTTGGTTGCTTTTTAAAATTAGGGACTAAAGATAATTTTGGAAGAGAGTAAGGGAATATTTTAAAAGGAGGTGAGAAAAATAATGGAACATTAAAGTAAAGCTAGAGAGAAAAAAGAATGTCAGATATCTGAAAATGTGCATTAAGACACTTTGAAAAAAATGCCTATTATAGAAATTCTATTTAATATTACCACTCTAATGAAATTTTTGTATTCCAACCGACATTTTTTTCTGTTTAGAAGAAGCCCTCAGAAGGGAAGGATTACTGTCTTCACTAAATAGCGCATAACATCCATGCAAAGTATTACCTTATGGAGGGAGCTAATACAAAGCATTGTCAAACAGACCAGCATGTTTTACAAAAGAAGAGATATTTAGAATATCTTTGCAAACCACAATGATGCCATTTTAAGACACTAATTCTTAAATATTTCTAAGTTTTCTACGTTTCTAAATTTATTTAAAGGAATGCTTGTTGAAGACATCAACTGCCATCAACTTGACTCATTTGCTACTGTTGCTTTCTTAATTTCCTGATGGGAAATAAAACGTCCATAGTTTAAATAAATTTATTGAAACAAAAAAAATCTCCATATTTATTTTAAATAAATAATCAAAAAGTACTCCCTGCTAAACCATTTTAAGTTGAACTTTGTATAATGGCGAACGTGGGCTCCCTGCTTTCAGATGATTTGCTCAGTAGGTTCCCTGGTATTTTTACGTAAACTCTAAGACAGCCCTGAGTTTTCTCTGCCCCAAAAAATCACATGGTGGCAAAATTCCAGCACAGTAGTAGTTTTGTTTAATAATTCCCACTAAAGTAGAAGTATTAAGAATAATAAATTATTATGGAACTTGCAACCTAATGAATCTATCACAGATCCTCGTTTTAAGATAAAAGCTGATTTTGAAGTCTTCAGACACTGCAACCAGGTTACTATTTTCATACAATCATGGAAATTTAAAATGCGAAGTTAATTGAAAGTATAAAGATGAAAAGCAAGTGCTATGCCTAAAATAGTGCACGACACAGTCATGTTTCACTTCACTTTCAAGTCAGAACATAAATTAACAATTCTAGATGTGACATGCCAAATACTTTAGACACAGAAGAAAGCACACAAGCACACAACAGAATCTTTACCAATTACACACTTAAACGTGTAGCTTAAAGGCAACAAGTTCATGCTGTAATATTGACGACAAATAATGTTTCCCTTATTTTAAGGAAGTGATGCTGCATAGAAACTCCATCACCACTTTGTACTGACATTTCATAAATAGCATTCCCCAAGCTTTAAATTATATCCAAAGTCAAAATATTTGAAAGGAGTAAAGAACAATGACACAGTGAGCCTATGAAAAATATTTTTTGCTTATAACACAATTCAAATGAAATAAATACTACACAATGATACTTCATCAAAAACAAATAATATGAAGTTTAACAGTATACGTATATACAATAAATTTGTTTTATGTTCTAAACTTTACCCTATTTTTGTAAGTGCATATTTTCTATTTATAATCATGTTGAGAGTTGAGAGAAATTAGAACTTTTAACTTTTCTTTTAATCATTTTTGTTAACCTACCTCTTTTCTTAAAAAGTGCATCTGGTGATTGAGATGTAAGACTAGTTAGAAGCTACAGTTAACCAACATGAAAACAAGAAAAACGTCTCAAAAGGTAAAGATTCCTCTAGAGGAAAAGTTGAACCAAAAAAATATGGAATCATATTCGGACACCCTCAAATAAATTATAAAACACAGTGTCAAGGAAAATTGGGGATGTTAAAACATTCCCTTAAAAATTAAATAAGTATATTCACCCAATATAAGTGAATAAAACAGGAGATATTATTCTTGTTTATTTTGACAATCATGTAGCTATAGTACAACTACAGTAAATAAATAATTTCATTCTCACATATTCATAAACAATCTCTGAGAAATCAAGGTAACAAGCACAAACAAGTTTACCCCTTCACGTAAGCTCTTTTTAAAATCCCTTCACATAGTCACTTTAAAAACTGATGTCTGCAATAACCAAATGAAGATACTGTCTAAATGTTTTGCAGATTGAAAGCAATTTCAGGAACCCACTGTCTTACAGAATTCAAGACTTTCTACTTTGTATTCTATTTGTCAATTTATTTCCTTCCCCCCAACCCAACACCTACATCCCTATTCCCATTTCCAAATTGGCTTTTAAAATCCCCAGGGGTAGAACGTATCCATATTTTCTCTATTGGCCCCAATATTGTGGCAGTGAAGATATGGGGTCCCCTATCTTATTTAATGAATGGATAACTGCATGAATGACAGTGCCACAGCCATCAGATTTGGACCTTTGATATCTTATCCCAGTCAAACGAAGATGGGTTCAGTAACATATTTCCATAGTGAAATGAATTATAACCAATAGATTGTGCTCTACGTGAAAGTACATAGATATATCCTTTAGAACACTGTTACTCAAGTTATGCTTTGTAGAACACTAAAATGTGGGACAGTAAAAAGGTCTGCCCTGTTCTTAATAAAAAGGGTTCCAAGGTCAAATAATTTGGGAAATCTAATTCAAAGAAATTCAAGTAACATCTCTTAACTGCTATATTCCTCAAAGCACATGATATACTAATGTGCAGTATCACTTTCTAAGAATCTATCAAAGAACGGTTTTGGCCTTGGAACATCTCAACAGAAGCGTGTTCTAAGGAACAGAGTTTAGGAAGCAGTGTTTTAGGACAATAAAAGATAGCATGTTAAATCTCCTTTACCAAAGGAGAATTACAGATTTGAAGGAAATACTCAATGTTTCATGTATTATTCAGAATTCATCACTTCTGTCTCCACAGGAAGCAAAATAAAGCCAAAAGTATATGAGGCTTCTTCTGCATCTACTTGCTCATTTTGAAAGAGTAGGGAAATATCTATTTACAGTTACTGAAGAATTTTCTTAATTTTTCTCAAAACATCTCCTGCTTTCCTCTTCCCTCTGTTCTAAGTGTGTATGTACAAAAGTAGTAGGGACCTCTGAAATAAATCTGAAAGACATCTTCTAACAATGGATCTATATGCCCGATTAATCTCTGGAAGTACGCAGAAAACATTAATATTTATCTAACAAGCAGGTGGACTATGAAATTTCCATGAGGAAAATGCCAATGGGTATTGTCAGAGTTCATGCAGGTCCATTATGGTTGTGCAAAATGACCCGATTTGTCTTCTGTTTGACTAGACCGCGAATACCACCATGAAAGATGTTGTTTCTGCATAGGGAGAAAAGAACTACACGGATTTTAAGGGAAAGGAGGAAGTTGGCTAAGTCTACAGATTATCACAAGATTTGGACCAAGGTCCAGCGCCACCACTAGCTATGTGACTTTTGGGATTTCTCAGTGTCTCAAGCTGTCAGATGTCTCATTTGGAAATGAGAGGAAGTAAAAATTTTAGTGGCTTTCACACTGTTGCGGGGCTGCTGTGGTAGAGGCTTATGGAGAGCAGGACACTGGGAAGAGACAAGGCCAAGGAAGTGGCTACTTCTGACCTCACTTTCACCTTCTAACCGAGCGGCTCCCCTTTTACATGTTTTAGACACTGAAGTTCAGAGCAATATTTACTTTTTTAAAAGATCCTTCTTAATTAAAAAAAAGAGAAAACCACAGATTATATCATCTAGAGTTCTGCTGAGATATAATGTGCTCTAGTTCACATTTTTAATGAAACTGTTTTCGTCTCAGGAAAAAAAAATGCTTTTACATTTCTTTTTCTTCATTCATGTGCTCTTGATTCAAGTAAAATAAAACCTTAATGGCTTGTATTATTTTTATATAGCTTATTTTACGTTTTTGTCATATCTTATTAAATAAAAAAGATGAATCGATGTGTTGCTTTTCAAAATAAAATTAAAGACAACACAGAGATGGGATGAAGTCAACTCCTGCCCATGCTTGACTTTAGAGTTATTTTTCATGCTGCCTTTGGGCTCTTAAATACTGTCCTGCATTATCTTTGAGGTAGAACAACAACAAAAAAAGGCAACAACATTCACATAAAGAGGGAAAATGAGAAAAGAAAAGCTGTGAGAGACTTCTTTTTAACACAATTATCATCATTAGGCTTTGCAGTCTTCTTTCACACAAAGTTGAGAAATAGTCTTCTTAATACGAAGGGCGGTCAGGCGGGCTGCCCCATTGGCATACCAACACTCACGCATTATTCTCCCCATGACTCGGAGTGCCTTTAAAAGAGAAAAATATCAAACATGTTAGCCCATCACATAAACACAGTACAAGAGAAGTATAACCACAAACCCAGGAACTGATGCTAAGGTCTGAAGAAAATCGTAAACTTAATATGAAAAGATAAGGACCCAACCTCCTTAAAAATCCAGTCAAAACACACACATTAACATTAGAGAAACTAACTTTTCATTGAAAGTGCAATCCATTGATTTCTGGGAATATGGAAAAGTGGCCAGTTTTTAAAACCTGAGAAAGGCCATGAAAGCCAAAAAAGGGATATGGGATGAGTAGCAAATTCCACATAGATTGGTCTGAATGGTAGGTACATATGTGTATACTTTTTTCTAAATTCATCAAGCTGTATATTAAGATTTGTGCATTTTAGCGTATGTAAATTATGCCATCTTAAAATAATGATCTAAGTATAAATATCAAAAATTCTGAGTTAAAAAATAAAACCTGTACAGTGAACTGGTAAATAAATAAATACTCAGAAAGGAAAATAATGAGAAAAGATGAATCCAGAGAGATGCAAGAAATCACTGAATCAAGTGGCCACTCTGGCGACATCTGCTGATCTCATAGTCTAGACTTTAAGAATCGACGAACAACATGTGAAAGTTAGGAAACACAGCCCAAAGTACACAGAAGGTGTCAAGTCAAGATGTTTGCCAAGTCCTGAATATAAGGATGAATCAGTCTGACAAGGAATTTTGTAAATTATCTAAATTTATTTAGATTATCTAATAATTTTATAAATTATCTAAATTTTGAAAGTTACCTAAATCTTGACTCTTGGTAAGGAAAAAAAAATCAAGCTCAGGCCTTAAAAAGTTAAGCATTTTAAGCAACAAGCCTAAGATCATGACAAAAATTCAAGCACAAGAGTGAAGAAAGTACCATAAACAAGGATCAAGTGAAACAACAAACAGTAAAATCAGACCCATCAAAACATTAGATGCTAGAATTAAATGATATAAAATATGAAATAAATATATGAAAAATAAATTTTTAAAAAGCAAAGAGAAAATTCAAAATATAAGTTAAAAAGATCATTTTTTAAAAAAGAAAAAGTACCAATAAAACATCGTGACATAACTCTTCAAAGAAAACCAAAGCAAAAATAAAATATTGGGACTACAACAAAGTTAAAAGCTTCTTCACAGAGAAGGAAATCATCAACAAAATGAAAGGGCAACCTACAGAATGAGAGAAGATATTCACAAATTATATATCTGGTAAGGACTTAATATCCAACATATATAATTTATATATACTACTCAACACACACAAAATACAAATAATCTGATTAAAAAGTGGGCAAGGGACCTGAATATACATTTGTCCACAGAAGATACACAGATGGCCTACAGACACATGAAAAGATGTTCAACATCACTACGCATCAGGGAAATACAAATCAAAACCACAATGAGATATCACCTCATACCTGTCAGAATGGCTAGAATCAAAGAGGTAAGAATAACAAGTGTTCATGAGGATGTGGAGGAAAAGAAACCCTTGTGCACTACTGGTGGAATACAAACTGGTGCAGCCACTGTGGAAAGCAGTATGGAGGTTCCTTAAAAACATGAAAATGTAAATAGTGTACGATCCAGTAATTCCACTATTGGGTATTTACCCATCACCCCCCTTCAAAAAAACAGCAATGCTAATTTAAGAAGATACATGCACTTCTATGTTTATTGCTGCATTATTTAGAATAGCCAATATACAGAAGTAGCCAAGTGTCCATTGATAGATGAATGGATAAATTAAAGGTATCTATATTTCCATCTATATCTATATATAAATAGAAATGTATCTTCTCTATCTATCTATATATATAAATATATATATAAATAAATCTATGGTGGAATATTACTTGGCCATGAAAAAGGACGAGATCTTGCCATCTGCAACAACATGGATGGACCTAGAAGGTATAATGCTAAGTAAAATAAATCAGACACAGAAAGACAAATATCACATGATTTCACTTGTATGTGGAACCTAAAAGACAAGTGAAGAAATCAATGAACAAAAAGCAGAATCAGACCCATATAAATAGAGAATAAATTGATGGCTATCAGTAGGGAGGCAGTGGGAGGAATGGACAAAATAGATGAAGGGGAGTGGGAGGTACAGGCTTTCAGTTATGAAATGTATAAGTCATAGGGATGAAAGATATAGCATAGAGAATATAATTAATGGTGGTGTAATAGCATCGTATGCTGACAGATGGTAACTACTACACTTGTGGTGAGCACAGCATGATGTATTGGGTTGTTGATGTTGTATACCTAAAACTAATATAATGTGTCTCAACTATACTTCAGTAAAAAAACAAACAAAAAACCTAATAAACTCACTACCTTTTTCTGACTGAAAAAAAAAAAACTTCTTGACCTGAAAGATGAATAATTTTAATACTATTTAATATTATCATTAATATTTTTTATTAATATTTTTTATTAAAAGAAACTAAATGGATGAGATAAATGGCAGGTTAGACACATTTGAGGGCCAAATTAATGAACTGGAAGATAAATATGAGATGCTACATAAAGATACAAATATGGAAAACAGGAGAGAATAGAAGACACACAAAAAACTGAAAGGTCTAACATGCATCCAATGAGTTCTCTAAAAACAGGCAAGAGAGACAATGAGAGGAGGAGCTATCTGAAGAGATAATGGTGCAGAATTTTCCAGAACTGAAGAACATCACAAATCCTTGGAATTAGAAAGTCCAAAAATTACAAGAAAGATTAATCAAGGGACATCTATACCAAATACATCATAGAGAAACTGCAGAATACTAGAGACAGAGAAGTTCTTAAGGTAGTCTGAAAGAAAAGATAAAGGAACTAAAACAAAACAAAACAAAACAAAACTCAGTTGACTTCTCAAAAGTGATAATGAAAGCCAGAAGACAGTGAAATAACAACTTTATTTAGAGAAAATAACTATGAACCTAACTTTGTTTATGATAAAGAACAAAATAAATTTTCAGATACCCAAACACTGAAAGAACTTACAACCACTAGGTCTTCCTAAAAAACCAATTTACATAAAATACATTTAAAGAATGCACATCAGGAAATCAGAAAATGATCTTAGAAGGAAGCTCTGAGAGGCAAAAAGTAATGTTGAATAAAGAAAATGATAAACATGTTAAGTCTCAACACACAATAATGGTATAAAATCACATGAGTATCTCATGAGATTAATACAAAATAAGAAAACTAAATACTGGACACAAATGGACAAAAATCGCTTATATCAGCAATGTACAAAATTGTTTGCCTAAAAACTGTGTTAGATCTTTTCTAGGAATGCATGGTTGGTTTAACAGTGGAAAATCTACAAATGCAATTTATCACATTTAGAGACAAAGAAGAAAGGCCATATCATCACCTCATACAGAGGAAGAAAGTTTTTATCAAAACAAAGTCAGCTTTTATTTAACCTGATTAAAGTTATGAGAAACAAAACCTACAGCAAGTATCATACTCAAAGGGGAAATACATAAACTTTAAGGAGTAAAACAAAGATATCCAGTATCAATACTTTCAGGCAACATTATATTGAAGTCCTAGAAACTGCAATAAGAAAGAAAAGGCTTGAGGATTGGTGCTAGAACTCTCATTATTTGGAGACATGATCATCTATGTGGACACCCCAAAAGAATCTACATTTTTATACTCTAAGAAATTTTTCCACAACACATGTTGTTTAAAAATATTAAAATCACACATAAGACAAAGAGCAGAAAAAGAAATTTTACTCTAGCAATATAATGAACTACTGCACAGATATGAAAATGAACAGATTATGCTATACACATCTATAAGGGAAAGTGAAAAGAAATTAAGAAGAGTATCTATAGTAAGTTTCAATAATATGTTTCATAATTACACAAAAGTAAACAATACATTTTTAGTGTATGTGTGTATGTATGTGTGTGTGTATATATATATACATATACATATATATATAAAATACATATATATAACATATATATTTTTTCTCCTACAAAAAAGCAAGGCAATAATAAATCATCATAACAGTAATCTCTCAGAGGGGCAAGGAATCTTTGAATGTTCTATGTTTTAAACTCGGTAGTGAATTCACTGCTTCTCATTTTATTATTATACTTATACTTTACATATATGTTATATACTCTTCCATATACATGAAATTGTTAATTTTAGAAAAAAACGCACTTAATTTCAGTTTGGTTGTAAATGTCTCAAATTCTTCTTCTAAAATAATTAGTGGATAAGATACCTATACGAAATAGAAATATCAAGACATAAATCTTTCCTTAAGTGGAAAAAGAATTGAATAAAACATGAAAGAGGGGGGAAATGAGGAAAAAACCTACTGTATAAAATAACCCTTAGGATAAAGCCAAACTAAAAATGTCACTTTCAAAAGACCTCACATATTACAATTAAATATGGTAGAATATATAAGGGGGTTGGGAGAGATTAAAGCATTAAAACAGTTCTGGAATTAGTTAGATGGTCTGTAGTCTTTGCCTCATCTTCCCTTCTTTCTCCGTGTGCAAACTAGAAAAGTCTCTTCCCTCACATAGGACCAAACTAGCACTGCAATGACCATTTATTGTGTGTATATTCCATGGTGGTCACTGTCTGTGCCGTTGGGCATGAGGAGATAACAAAGGTCTTGGCCGTGAGGAGGCTTTTCTGATGAAAGGAAATAAGCTCAAACTTCAGCAAGTTAGGGGTTAGAAAGAATTTAGTGACTCTAGGGATGATTGAAATTGTAATACTCTGTCTGGCATGGACATAGACTACCAAACATGTCTGTGTCCCTACAGTTACCAGCCTCTTTGCAGTCAGATGGGACTGTGTGACTGACTCTGGTCTATGAACCATGAGTGGAAATGATGTGACTCACCTGAAGCCAGAGCATCAGAGAGCCACGTGTGACCGTCCAGCTCCTCTCTTTGCCTGACCTAGACACTTGGAAACTATGAGTTGAGACAGCAGCATCCCAAGATCAAAGTTACCTGCATTACTGAATCAGCACAGGGAGCACAGCTGCCTGACCTGTTGGGGACTTTATACAGCAAGAAATCAAGTCTTGTTGTGTCAAGTCATTGGGATACCAGGGCCTGTTACTGCCACTTGACTTAGCATTCTGTATATATATAGCTAAAAGAACTAAAATCCTTCTGAGGACTGATGCAAGGACATACACTTACATACGTGAAAAGAATTGGATGCCTAGATTAAGACAGAAGAACTATGTAGTCTCCAAAAACCTTCCCTGGTAACTTACCTCAGAATTACAATAGGTAAAACATATATAAGAACACAGCCTTACTTCACAGCTTTGCCACTGGTTGGGGATATTTGGTCGAAACTTCTGGTCACAAACAACCTTCCGCATTTCCTCTACTGATGGATCTGAAGGCACCATGTCATAATAAGGCAACTGGTACTCCTCAACAATTCCTATAAGAAATTTGCATGATAAATTTCCTAGTGTGAATAATAAACAAAGATGCTTATTTCCAAAGACAACCAATTATGTCTTCTAGGTACAAGGGGCACCCTGGGAAACTGGAAAGTCAGGTTTAATAAAATTTTGTGTCACTATGAAACCAAAGATATAGGTATTAAGCGCTCAGCTGAATAATTATTATATAAGTTTATAAAATTTATATTATGAAAATGTATATAATTTTGATAATTACATATATCTTATATAAAACAAACATCTATTTTATGAAGTATATAATTTTGACAATTACATATTATATATTACATATGATTTTATAGAAATACATCACATTTACAGGATTTTAACAATGATATAAATGTAAATATATAAAATATTTTACATAATTATAAAGATTATGTAAATTCTGATTTATATAAAATACCATTGTGCAATTCAAAAGTAATGCCTAATTGAAAAACTTATAGCATGGCCTCATTGCTCTGGGAATGAAGTATGTTTCTCCATGAAATAACCTTTTCAAAACAGAATAGCTTACTCTTTTTGAAAATTGATGGGCAATCTTTTAAACGCTGTGTTTCTTACATTTGGATTATAGAAGTACCATACCTGAGAATGTGCCAAAGAAGCAGCAAAGGTACTAAATAAGGACAGTTCAACATGAAGGTTCATATTAAAAGAGTCTCAAATACAAAGACCTGATCTAAATTATCAGAATATTACTTGAAATTGAGAATTTCCTTATAAAATTGCTTTAACTATAGTACTTTTAATGTAAAATATTTAAGATGTGCCCTAACAAATTACTATTTCAATAGTTGAAGAAAATTTAAAGACAATGACCTAAAAGCACATCTAGACAATTAATTTTTTTTTAATTTTTTTTTCAACGTTTTTATTTATTTTTGGGACAGAGAGAGACAGAGCATGAACGGGGGAGGGGCAGAGAGAGAGGGAAACACGGAACCGGAAACAGGCTCCAGGCTCCGAGCCATCACCCCAGAGCCTGACGCAGGGCTCGAACTCACGGACCGTGAGATCGTGACCTGGCTGAAGTCGGACGCTTAACCGACTGCGCCACCCAGGCGCCCCTAGACAATTATTAATATGAATTAAAAAAAATTGTTACAAACATGTTTGAGTCATGCTTTTTACCATACACTGTCCTAAGCCCTTTACATGTTTTAATTTTTTTAATTTTTTTATTTATTTTTTAACGTTTATTTATTTTTGAGACAGAGAGAGACAGAGCATGAGCAGGGGAGGGGCAGAGAGAGAGGGAGACACAGAATCTGAAACAGGCTCCAGGCTCTGAGCGGTCAGCACAGAGCCCGACGCGGGGCTCGAACTCACAGACCACGAGATCATGACCTGAGCTGAAGTCGGACGCTTAACCGACTGAGCCACCCAGGCATTCCATTCTTTACGTTTTAACTAATTATTTCTCAAATCCACAGACTAAAAGAGGAACCGTATTATCCCTACTCTGTAGAAGGAGGAAATTGAGGCACAAAGAGTCATAAATTTGGTAAAGGTCATAGAGCTAGTAAGTGGCAGATCTGGAACTCAATCCCAGGCTCCAAAATCCTACTGTAATTTTATTGCTTCTATAAATAGCTTCATCTTCCTGAATAGTGTACTATTTCATCTGTGAATAAAAGGGGGAAATTATGTTTTCTCATTCAAGTATAATTTTAACCTTGGAAGCTTAAAAAAATTTTTTACTCATTTGAAAAAAATGAGATTAGCGTAATGCAAAATGACATCAATGCGAAATATAAAAACTGAAGTTGGTTTGATAATGACAGTTGTTTTATTGAATGTTTACTATAAGCATGCTCTACACTAATTAATTAATTAATTAAATCAATTTGTTAGATCCTCAAAGCCCAAGGGGTCAGTTTTATGATTCATTTTACAGATGAGGAAAGTGAGACCAAGTAACTTGACTAAAGTCAGATATTCAGGAATTTGCTAAACCACAGCTTAGTTTTAAGTCTTTCTTCCTTGGAAGTGAAAACTCTAATCCATTTTCTAACAGTAGTTAACTTTTCTCTGCTGAGGCCACAACTCCCTCAGACTGCATTTGTAGGGTTTCATCCTTTCAAACTCTTCCTCTCATTATTAATCTCTGAACTGCTAGGAGCATTGAGTCAGGAAGTTAGTCTATGCTCACCTCTGCCCACAATCGCTTTCTCTCTTCCACATGCATTATCACAGAGGGAAAAACAAAAGAAAACAGGAAAAGCCTGAAATCTAGAAGACTTCAACTCCTATGGCTCTTGTTAAGTCATTTAACATCTTTGGGTTTAATTTCTGGTATAAAGTAGGGTATTAATTTCTGGTATAAAGCAGGTGCCTGGGTGGCTCAGTCGGTTAAGTGTCTGACTTCAGCTCAGGTCATGATCTCACAGTTCGTGGGTTCGAGCCCCGGGTCAGGCTCTGTGCTGACAGCTCAGAGCCTGGATCCTGTTTCAGATTCTGTGTCTCCCTCTCTCTCTGCCCTTCCCCTGCTCACGCTCTGTCTCTGTTTCAAAAATAAACACTAAGGAAAAAAAATGTTAAGTAGGGATACGGCTAACTGCATACAAACTGAAGAAAATTTTCAAGTACTGTGCAAAATATCATTAAGAAAATCAGAATTATCAGGAGAAATGTCACTCCCACCTAAGCAGTAATCACAATATAAAATCAGCATTATACGTAGGATGCTCCACTTTTGCCAATGGAAAGCTATCCCTAAAAGGTAGTCTCTTAAATTTTAAAAAATGATTCAATATGGTGCTTAGAAAATAATACATACAAAATCATATCTTATATTCAAAGCATCAAGGAAAGACAGATACAAAATTATCCCCAACATCTTACCTCCAACTGAACACCTTCGGGCTATTTCCCAATAAACCAGACCAACAGAATAGATGTCAGCTCGTTTGAAGGACTCGAAGATATTCACATTCATGGTATCATCAAGCATTTCAGGAGCCATATACCTTGAAAAACATGCACATTTCAGATTCTGTGTATGACTTTACAGCAATCCAGTAAAATACAATCTTAATAAATCCTGTCACAAAATATAAATTAGGATAGCTTATATCATTTTTAAAAGTAGATCTAAGTCACTGTAATAAATTAAATTTAAATAATACAGTTATTGAATGAACCATAATTAAAAAAAAATTTTAAATAAAACCAGAGGTCATCCTACTCAGTGTCAAAGCACAAGTGCCAGGAGCCAAATGACTTGCAAAAAACAAGCTAGAGGGAAATTCAGTAAACAAAGCACTCAAGAGGAAAGAGGGAACTCAACTCCCACCAACAAATGTTGCCATGTAAAGCTCCTTGAGGGCAAGAAGCATCTCTTATTCATGGTGGGCCCAGGACAATAATGCAGTGCTCAGCAGCATACCCTAAATACCTTCTAAGAATGAACAATTTTATTTTATACTGGTTTCAAAAAATATATACACAATATACATTGGCTACAAGAAAATTACAACCTTGTTTGAATAAAACTAAACAAAAGATATCTACAGGCCACAGGACCTGACTGAGTCTAGCTGTCCTAGGGAGATTTTGATGATTTCTCAAAATATTAAGATCAGGGTGCAGTACTCTCCCAAACTCTTAAAAGCTTTAGATCCTCTTAAGGAATCCAGCATCCAAGGCTTCCCTGGGGGTCCCTAATGTGGAGACTGTCATATGGGCAAGCTGAAGTTTGCTTTTCAGAGGGAAAAGAAGAAAGGTCCCATAGGGCCGCCTGGTTTGAACAAACTGCCCTGACGTGTTCCTGGGGCCTCATTAAATTCTAGGGAACCAAGAGAAGAGCTCAGAGTGATGGGCTTGGAATCTCTAATCTGGCTTGGAGGCCAACTGAACCAGAAATTCCCTACTCGCAAGATCCTTTAACAACTCCAGGAAAATGTTTTGGTTGTTTCTGATTTCAAGGTCAAGAGCCCAGGAATTATATCAAAGGAGCATGAACCTGATGTTCAAATAAAAGGAAATGGAAGTATGCTGGCTACAGGCTGGCCAGAACAAGAAAACACCAGAAATCTCACTCCCAACGGGCCTGTCGTAATACATACGCAGTATGTTCTGTTTATCTCGTTCTTGTTCTGAACCTTCAGAGATTCTGTTCCCTGAACGTGGGAAATATGTCCAAACTCCTATTATTTTAATATACGTCAGTTTGGGAGACTTAAGAATAAGTACAATTACAGGTAAATACAAAAACTGTTACACGTCCTTAAATACTAAGGGAGTACAATAGCACATGTATGTATTTATTTAGAGTCCCTCACTTACCTTGCTCAATATACTGATTTGACATCTCTTGTTTAGAACCTGAAAAAATAGATCTAGCCCTGAGTTTCAGTGCATTTATAAGTATAAAGGCTTTGGAGGAGCTATATACTGATGACATGTTTTTCCTCCTATCCCTAGGAAAATGTATTCTCAGAAACTGGCACACGAAAAATAATGTATCACCATCTCTTCCACCATACCTATCTACTGGATGCCTTACCCAAATGACTACTGTCTATACAACTAAAATGCCACCTGTCCCTGCTTTATAAGCATTATGGCACTGACTTCTCAATGACCCACAGAAGACTTCTTGCCTTCTTGGGCCTAATGATTTTCCATTCAGACCACTCTCCACCAAAAACACCAAAACGCACACACACATCCCATGACGTCACGTCTGGGAGGCAGTCACATGCCTCAGGGTGCTACCAGAGCTAGTCATCTTACCTTTTGGTTCCTACTTTAGGATTCTGAGGTATGTCAATAGTGTTCAGTACTGAATCATGCTTCACAGCCAACCCTAAGTCTGCTATGGCACACGTTTCACACTTTTTCACTAAGATATTCTTTGATTTTATATCTCGATGAGCAATCGCAGGTTTACCTATGAAGCATAAGAAAAAAAATACTCCTTTTTTTTTGTTGTTGTTACTAAAGATTGACTCTCTCCAAAGGGAATCACGTTGAAGACCTGGCTCAAATGTCACCTCCTAAGACAAGTCTTGCCTGACCACACATCCCACATCCCCAGTCATTCTCCACAGAGTACCTTGTTTTGCCTTCTTCAGAACCCTTATTACTGGCTATATTGTTCATTCCCATGTGTGTCTATCTGTCTTTCCCAATTAGACTGTAAGCTGCCTAAAGGCCTGTGTCTTATTCATCCGCAAGCCTCTGATGCTCAGAACACTTGTTGGCACTTGGTGGCCACTAATAAATTTTTGTTGAATGAACAGGGAAAGAATTGGCATCGCTACAACCACGTAAGAATATAGCAAATATTCTCTTACAAACATGTTTCAAACTTTTACTACCCTACACCAGCACTTCTCGAATGTGACCCTAAAATCCCTGGGAGTCTTTGAGTCTCTTTTCTGAATACATATCTGTGTGATATTACCTTTTCTTCACATACTTCAACCAAAACAACATATGGGAACCAAGTGGATGAAGAACATGCATGAGAATCCAGACATTAAGTCAGACATTAAGGAGATTTGCAAAAATGTAAAACAAAACCATTATTTTCACTAGATATGGTTTTTGTATTACAAAAAAAGGATGCAATTTTTTTAAAAGATGTAAATTTTTGAAACGTATTTCACATTTAATCGGTTAATTAGCATTCAGTAAATTAATAAATATTTTTTACATTTCTCAATTTTCGTTCATAATATAGTAAATGTTAACAGGTAGAACCCAAATACACAAACACTTTTGGGATCCTCAGTAGTTTTTAAGAGGTTAAGGGCCCATGAATCCAAATTAGAGAATTATTGCCCTGTCTGGACTAATGACTTTCTAGAGCCAATTCTCTATTAACTCAATAAATAGTAAGGACAGTGCATATTATTTGGCCTTTGAATACATGATATGTAAATATCTTTTCAAGATCACATTACCATCTCCCATTATTTTAGTTATCAAAGGTAAATATTTAAGCTATCAATATTCTCTGAATATAGAGCATTTGCCCCCCGCCCCCAAGTAAGATCTCCCAGGTGTATGTGCTAAATGGCAAAGCCGGAGCCACCAGTATAAAAACATTATTATGGCTAATATACACAATGGTGAGTATATAGATGAGAGTTGCCTGCATCATGATAATACCCTCAGTTTTATAAAGCACCTTAGTGCTTCTTTACATTTGATAATTGGAATAAATTAAAATACAAGGAAGCACTAAAACACAATTTGGTGTTTCCATCCTCATATTGAAGCAGAGAGAACTTAGAAAGAAAACACGTACCTTGTGTACCAACAATCTCCATATGTAAGTGGGCCAGACCACTCGCTATGGAAAGTGCCAGTTTGATCATGCCAGCCACTGTTACTACATTTCTATTCAAATAGTCATATAAGGAGCCCAGTTCATGGTATTCAGAGACAAGCCAAAGTTGAGTCCAAGTTCCATTATCTAAATGGAAAAAAAAATCATTTTGTTGCATTAAAAATCACTGTATTATGTTAAGGAAGAAACCAAAGGCTTTTAGCAAATGTCAGTATTGAAAATAAATCTGTATTGTTAACAAAGGAAAGTTAATTACTTTAGTGATGATGCTGACAGTCCAAGTTAGTACAGTAAAATTTCTCACTGAATCCCTGAAGATGTTGATATAATAAAACCTGTTATACATACTGTAGCTATAGGAAGCTGTGAGAGTAATTATGATAAGTGAATAAGTTCTTTCTTATTCTCTCTATACATTGATAACACCACATTATAGGAAAAACTACTGACAGATGCTCTTAGGCTCAGTGTTGTGCTATAAATCACTCTGAGCTTTTAAGGAAGATTTTTCCAATAAAAACCAGAAATGCAACAAATGTACACAAAGTATTATCACTATAATAAAAGCCCAAAAATTCTAAGAATGTTCATGTTGTTCACTTTTCAAAATATGAAGTTGATTTTCCCCAAATGCTTACATTAAGAGCCAGTTATGAAACATTTTCAAATAATTTACTTCATCTAACCAAAAGGTAATCCATCTTATGAAATATTTTTACCAGAAAAGAAATTAGCTTAAAACTTCTGCAGGTATTAGAGTCCCTAGAGTTAGTTTTAGCTTTTGGAATGGAGTCTACAACAGCCCTGGGAAGCCCTGACCAGTTCTGATGCTCAGAGTAGGAAGCCATAATAAACATTTGCTCCGGACTTTTCCTATTAAATGCTTTATTTACAAAAGCTAACTCTTAATCCAAATATTTAATTTCCAAATCCGGGTAGCGATAAAATTTCCTAGGAATACAAAAATGAACATAACGTGATAAAGCTCAGTAATAAACTGACCATGAATAAAACTAATCCCTACTCCTACCCCTCTCTCTGCTCAACGCCAATGGCTACCTTTGTCCTCTCACATTAATGTCTTTGTCAGAGAGTTGACTAACCAATGGAACTGTAAGTACCACAAAAGATTTAGAAATGAGGATGAAAGCAATGTTAGAGGTCATTTGAAAGCATGCACAAAGCCACTGATTAGTAAGCCAGTGACAGGTAGACCAGTTAAACTGAAGAAGGAGACCATCAGGGATGATGTCTTTTGGGCCTATTGTTTTTTATAATCAAATAAACATTATGATTAAATTAGACCCATCAAGATGATCCATATAACTAAAGTCATTACTGCTTTGACAACAATGCTAATTAATCTAATCAGTAGGTATGCTTCAACTCAATCTTAGGAAGGAAAAGTTCTTAGCTCACTAAGAAATGTCTCATTTTCGATAGTCTGGATATATTTTCAAAGTATATGTAGTTGAGAATTTGGAAAGAACATCTTTCTTTTTAAAGCTCATCTTGGCTTTACTCAGTCTATACCTACCCACATGAAAAAACACAAACCATCAGCAAACACAATTGCTACCAAAATGTACAATAACTCCAGGCCTCTCTTATGTCATCTAATTAATAACAATAAAGCTTATAATAGATCAAAATAACCATAGATTTTAATTTCCATAGGTAATGGTGAGTCCCTGATACCCATAGATCATCTGTTTTTTAGATAGATGTTACAATCTCTACCTCACCAAAGTTCTTCATGAATACTACTGATTCAAGTCGAAAACATTGAGTGGGTCAACTTTTGCTTCCCTTTGTGCCTTGTCTCCCTTTATTCAGGGAACTAATGCACAGTTAGATGACTAAAATCTATGCAAAAAGAAGAAAGTACAGGTAACTCACAAACTTTATACCCAGTCCCTGATTACTCAGGGATTTACACCATATTTTCCAAATACGGATTTAAATACCAAGACACTGATGTTCTGCCTTGCTCCTCAAAACTCAAAAAGTGATACTGTTTAGGGTTGTTGATGTTAAGCCTCAACATATAAATTATGCTCAAAGTACATTAATAGAAAATTTCACTAGAATTGATTTGCTGTCTGCCATTCTGATAATGTTCATGGAAAATTGGAATTCTGGAGTTGAAGCCTGTTCATACAGATGAGAGATACCGTCCTAGCAAAGGTGGATATTCAGCTAGCATTCATTGGTATGTCTGTGCCAGTTATTAAAATATTGAAATATCTCTGTCCTCATCAGCTAACAGCTGCTATTCAAAATTCCAATCCCATTCCTTTGCCCTAGACACCCAAAGCAACCTCCCCCACCTCCCACCCCAACCCCTGACAAGGTGCCTCCAGATTTCTCCATGAACCAGAAAATAAGGCATAAAAGCTAGCACTGCAGGGTTCTCTCAGGACTCTGTTCCAGTTGAATCTTCTATTCTGACTGGTCGATTCTTGTGCCATACCAGTCACCAAATACTTTAAATATCAACCTGGCTATGGCGTCATCATGATTTCATATCACTCGTCTGCCCTGCCTTTATTGTATGGATCTGTATGTTTATCTGTGGAGAAGAGGAAAAGCATTTTCTATCTTCAATAAAGAAATTAGACTAGATTTTATTAAAACAAGGACATTATTTAGTTTGATCTGATGACAGACATAACATTTTTACTTGCTGAACTCAATTAGATTGAAAATACCTTTGTTGGGGGCACCTGGGTGGCTCAGTCGGTTGAACGTCCGACTTCCGCTCAGGTCATGATCTCACAGCTTGTGAGTTTGAGCCCCACACGTCCAGCTCTGTGCTGACAGCTCAGAGCCTGGAGCCTGCTTCAGATTCTGTGTCTTCCTGTTTCTCTGCCCCTCCCCCTCTTGTGCTTTCTCTCTCTCTCTCTCAAAATAAATAAACATTAAATAAAAAAAAATAAAAAAAGAAAAAAAGAAAATACCTTTGTTGTCAGCAGCTATGAAACCAAGTATGTTCTCATGTCTCAGCATAACCGTCTGGTAAATTTCTGCCTCACGAAACCAAGATCTTTCATCTCTGGAGGAGAATATTTTTACAGCCACATCTTCCCCACACCATCTTCCATGCCAGACCTCACCAAATCTACCTTTTCCTACTATCTCCTGAAGTACGATCGTCCTTGCAATTGTTCTTTGAACCAACAGAGGTAGACCTAACCAAAGAAAAGATGAAATTGATTAAAAACAAGGGAGTGCCAGAAAAGAACCATCATAATGGCCATTATTTTCACACAAATAGGGAAACATTTAAGTGCTTTAATAATTTTACTGATTTTAAAGAAACTAGCACCATTATACCAAACCTTAATGTCAAACCATTGCTCAAAGGAATACTCCAAATTCTTACTATGATTTTCTCTTCTCATATTCACAAATGAAAATTTCCTGAACATAGACTACTGCTACATATATTTGATTTTTCAGAATTGCTGCAAATCTCCCCGATTTGCCCATCAAAATCAGTCAGGTTTTAATGGTTAAAAAAATATGCCGTTAGCCTCTAAAATAAAATATGTTGCTTCTAGTACAACTGGGGAAGCAGAAGAACTCTCTGTGTAAAACTGCCAAGTGAAGAATAAAATTCAATAATCAAGGGAGGTAATCACGTTACACTAAAAGTGAGGTATAGTCATAGAAAATATCAAATGGATATTCTGTGAACAAAAAAAAAATTCAAAGAAAATATATTCTGAGTGTATGTAAAAAGTTCAGGTTCTTTGAACTAATAACCCCATGCCTAGAATTCTTTCTTAAAGATTTAACTGCAAAATGCAGAAATATTTATGTCAAAATATTTAATATGTTATTGTTTATAGGAAATAGAAGGAAAATATCAGATAATAGAAAAATTGTTAAACATTGTACAGAGATTAAGAGAACAGATAACAAAGACCTGCGTTCAAATTTCAGCTGTGCAACATAACCACCAGCAAGTAAGTGAACTTCTTTGAGCTTCAACTTCCTTATCTAAAAAACAGGGGCTATGGAGGGATTACTCCATAGGGGTAATCCAAGAATCAATAATCACGTTAAGCACCCAGCATAATATCTGGTATGTTAAGTGATCAATAATGGCTAGGCCTTAATATTCTGAGAACGGATTACTGAGAGTAAGTGATAATGATGCTGCTTATGAGGTATTTCTTAATGACATGCGAAAACACTTTTGCGATAACGTTAAATGAAAATAGCACAGTAAATTCTATCCATCTAAATGAGCATACCTAGCTATTCAAAATAGGCACCGGAAAAAGGCTAAAAAGGAAATCTATTAAATGCTCTGACGGTTATTTCTATTTAGTGGGATCGGGGTGAATTGTGACATTCTTCGGTCTAACATACATTTTCTTAATTTCCACAATGGGTACTTACTACAATTATAATTAGAGGAAAATAGTTAAAGAGGTTACAGTACAAGCGTACTCTGGAAAGTCATGTTTAGTTATTATCATTGTAGTGGGATGGCTCGGAACCTCTCACTGCAACAGCCCTCTGAGCTCTGCAGGCTTCAGCCTCTGCTCCTGAAATGTGCCACGGTTTATTCAGATGTTCTCATCCTCGTGAGAACCACCCACTGTGGCTAAACAAGCACAGACTATAAGGTGGCTATTATGGGTCTTAACAATTAGTCACGGAGCCCCACGGTCAGCAAGTTCTGAGATCGTCTAGTCCAACTTTATCATTTTAGAGATGAGAAAATCGGGGTCCCACAATAGTCGAAGACTTGCCCAGAACTAGGCCGTAGTGGGAGGCAGAGCTACAACTAAAACACAGGTCTTCAGTCCAAACTCTTGCTCTCACCATTCAGTGGATACCACCCCACCCCCAGCCCTCTCCTGCTCGGAAGACTTCCAGCAGCAAACTATAAAGGCTGTTTTTGTAGACTACAGTCAATTTTACTACTTGGCCACACAATAAAAGTTGTACTAACAATTAGCAGGCCAAATTTCAATCTCAAACTCTCTCCTCCCTCTCCCATCTTGCACACACACACTCGCAAAAACATCACATCAGAGCTAGATAAGCCTGTGTTTTCAAACCGCAAATTGATCAAGTGCATGACCAATGCCCCAGACCATGGGCAAAGTAAGAGAACATCATCTAAGGTACTCAGCATGGCAATTAAGCTGAGACACTAAAATTCAGTGAAAGTTGCTTTGGTACCTTTCAAGGCAACCATTCCAAACAATCTAGTTCTGCTTATACGCTTAGAAATTTCATTAGAAGAAACATGGACTCCGCTTCTCCATGTAGATTCATTTCACTCTTCTTTTGTTTTTTTAAACCAGGGTTTGTAGAAGCTGATGCCTATCTGATGGAAAGGTAACTTTCAGTAATGCCACTACTCATCAGAAGTGTTATCTGGGGAGAGGAAAGCAGCAATGTGCCCAGACTCTTAGAAGCCACCTGAGACACGATCCGTTCTCAGAAACAGTCCCGCAGAACATCGGTCCACTTGCCTCTTAGGTATTCTATCTCTGTCTGACTCTTGATTTCAGCTCGGGTCATGATCTCGTGGTTCGTGAGTTCGAGCTCCACGTCGGGCTCTGTGCTAGCAGTGGGGAAGCTACTTGGGATTCTCCCTCTCTCCCTCTCTCTCTGCCCCTCCCTTGCTCGCTCTTGCTCTCTCTAAAATGAATGAATTTTTAAAAAAGATCTTAGAATAATATAGAGACAAGAGCCCAACAGTTAATAAATCCAGATTTAGGTTTAATGATGCACAAAAACACCACAAATCTTAATATTAATTTTTTACTTCATGTCCTGACTCATGATTACTTTCTTAAACTAAATATCCAGTCTCCAGTTATAATATCGCTATTAATTTTATTTGAAAGGGACATTCTTAGTCATCTTAAATATATTCCAGGAGTAGCTCTAAAATACACATTTCTATTTAACATCTTCAACTGAACTGAAGTTTTGGGGGGGGATATTAAATAGGAGGTTATTTAATCACTTGAACCTTATAAAGATACTATATAAGGTTTCAAGGAACTGGGTACAAATCAGAGCTCTCTGTGCTCATATTTTGTGCCTAGAATGTCACCAGTGCTCAGGAAATTAGGGAACAGTAGTCCCCAGGATGTAATAGGGAGGACTGAGTACCAATTCTGGACAGTTTTACTTTTAAACGAAGAATGCCAGCTTTCTATGCAAGAATTTAATTTGGATTTTAGTTCTACAAACTTTGCAGTTTGGAGACAGTTCTTTCCAAGATTCCTCCTTTGAAAACATGCTATCTAATTTATGCAGGGATGGCATAAACACTGAGACCCTGTTCAATGAGAGAGCAGGCAGTCTTGCCCTCAGAAGCAACAAACTGTGTGTGCTCTCTGGATGACATAATTAGGCCTCTCTTTTCTGGACTCCGGTGAGCCTAAAGCTGCTTCATGTTAAATATGGATGCTCATACAGATGTTACCGCCACTCTGTCGTCTGCCCTTGTTAATCGTGCCACGCTCCTAAAGGCCATGGGCTGGGGAGTTTCTCAAAGTCCGCTTGTGGGAATCATCCTTAATGATTCTTCCAAAGCAAGAGGGGATCCAGGGCCTTCTGAGGTGACCCACCTCGGCTCACCCTAGTTCACATGTCTGCAGTACCACATGCCCTCAGGATTCCTGGATGTACACATGAGGAAAGGCCAGATTAGAGAGTCTGTTATTACGGAGGAATCTGCTCTGTCACCAGAAACCCAAAATGCCCTCATATGGTTTGTGCTAAGAAAAAGGTTCAGTGAGGACATAAAATAGCCTCGTATTTTGAATGGCTTCACCAGGGGTTCTGGAGTTCCATTCAAGAGGAATAGAGTTATCGTCTCACCTCGGCAACAGCCAGCAGAGGAGTGCTGTCCTGTTCCCTATCATCTCTGTTTCTATGCTTTTAGAACACATTCTTGATTTTGATTTCAGGTCAGCTCTGTGTTCACTTCACACACACATCCCAGGGGATGCTGCGGATTCCAAAGACTTTCATAACCATGAGCAAGGGCACTCTAAGAATACCACTTTGCACAACCAACATCTTTCCCCCAGAACCCAATTCCTTAAGTATGGTAACGTTTGTGCCCATGAAGCATTACTAAGAGAGCCACAATGATTATCACCAACCATAACAGAGGCAGGGGGGAGAAGAGAAATTCTTTCTTGCTTCAAAAAATAAGTTGTGAAGGAATATAAAAGTGACACTCGGAACACCTAAAGGCAGACAAGGCAACTGAGAAGACTTAACTCTTTCAGCCGTGACGTTTTTTTCTCTTCATCAAATCCTAAAACAGGTTTCTATACCAGAACTTACCAGGTACCACGCTGAGCACTCTAAATGATGCAATTCATAATACTGGGGCCCTTTTCTACAGGTTAGAAATTGTTTTGATTTATTTTTAAATGTGAGTTTTCTTACTGCAAAATGGACAGGGGGCACATACCAGAGCCAGAGCCAGAGGCCGTCACATCGTATATCAGATCTTTTAGAGTTTTTCCAGCATTTACCAGATTGCACTCAGAGAGAGGTTCCTCCACATTCTGTCTCTTTTTCTTCCTGTCTGTGCACTGGCGACCTTGGCACGCCCATATCATCAGCGCCGCTGCCATGGACAGGAGGCAAACTGGCACAGTAATAACAACGGTCAGCTCCATGGGTCCGAGTTTTGGGGCATTTGGAGATGCTTCAGTTAAAAAAGAAAGAACACGACCATAAATCAACCCATTTAAGATACTCTAGAAATTGTAACCAGGATCACCAAAATTTCGCATCATTGATGTGGAGCTACCCAGCACGCCAGAGTTAGGATCGAGATGGGATCCAGATGGGAGCCAGAGTTAGGATCATGGAAAGCACCAGCACACGGGAGCCCTTTTCAATCCTCCAAGGCATTTGCCATTTTTCTACTATCTTCTCCCCATTCCTCAGCAGTCCATCCTTGGAGCACGTTCATTCACTCATGCCCCAAATAATTACCGAGCTCTTGCAATAGCTCTTGCCACCATTCCAGGTGCTGGAGATGCAGCGGTGTGCGGCAGCCAAATCCTTCCTCTGGAGTTGCTTATGTTCCCGTGTCACACGCCCACTGAACAGATGGATGTGCGACAAGAGGCCTTACGCACTGTGAGGAAGCAGAGGGGCACGCGCGTGCGGCGGGGATGCCCCTTGGCGGCAGAGTGCTCCTGGAAGCCGCTCTGGGAGGCGACAGGGAGCAACGCCCGGAGGGTCTCCGCGAGCCGCGCGCCAGGCAACGTGAAAGCAAGTGTGCAAGACCCCGAGGTGAGGCCCGTTCGGGCTGCTCAGGCACAACCCGTGCCTGGAGGGCAGTGAGCGGGGAGGAAGGCAGAAGAGAGCGAGGCAACAAAGACAAAAGAGCCTGTGGGGTCTGGTAGGCTAAGCGAAGGGCTGTGAATTCTATTCCAAGTAGGAGCTGTCGCAGGACTTGGAGGAGGCGAACTACGGGATCTAAGGTTCATCCTGCGTGGCCGCAGAGGGGCGCAGGAGTAAAAAGCGAAGAGACAGAGGGGACCAATGCAGTCATCCAGGCACGATGGTCTTGGCTGAACCTTCGCTGAAATAGTAGGACTTCCTCCTGGGTTCTGGTTCATCCTCCACCCTTTTGCTGTTGTGTTTTAATCCCTGGGTTGTATCACCACCTGGCACATTATATATGCTTAACCGACTGAGCCACCCAGGCATTATTCAATTCCCTCCAAAGAACGCATGCTTCATGAGGGAAAGAATTTTGTCTGCTTAGTTCTCAACTCTATCCCCAGTGTTGACAACTGGAGACGACGAATAGATCTTGAAATGGTGGAACCGCTAAAAGTTCTACTAGTTTGTTCTTAGTAAGCAAAGGATAAGGTTTTTAGTTTTAGAAAAATAAACATGATCATTGAAACCAAGCAACATAAAGGGTGTAATCAAATTTGTGACTCTCCTGTTAAAACACAGACAGCCAATTTTTCTAAAGTTCATCTTGCATTTAAGAAATCTTTTTAATTTAGGGGAAATAGTGATACATTAAAAAATCTATGATGACAGATATTTCCTGTATTTTTCAAAGAAATTATTTTGACACCTGAAATGAGCACATAGTTCATTTTCTTTTCATTCACTAAAGACAGCCTCAGCATCAATTTAATTTCATCACTGGGTCCTATCATTAGGGATGCTGGTTTTTGTTTTTAATAAGCCTTGGGAAGTATCTGATGGGATACAGGAATAGAATTCTGGAGTCTTAGGTTCTCAGACATCAAGGAGAAGTGGAAGAATGCAGACTTTGGAGAAAGAGAAGCCAAAGTGAGATGACACTTTCTCCATTTGTGGCTATAGTGCCTTGGGCAAACTGCCCCAGCTGACTAGGCATACCCAGTGAGAGGGTTAGAAAGAATGCATAGAAAGCAACGCACAGCACCTGCATCTTAGAGTCTAAACCAATGACGGTGATAATGGACCTTGTGAATTAAGCCATTCCTCAGAATTCTTTCTTTGCAATCCTAGAGAGCTTATTATATTAAATACACTTACATTTTACTTACAATATGTCAACCAGAATAGGTAAAGACAAATTTAAAATAAATATTATTTCATTCTCAAGGAAAAGGAATCAAATTCCTCAAAAATGTGTTCATGAAAGTTTCATTATAATCATAAAAATATATACATATATATTTTTATCATTGATAAGTAATATATTTAAAACTGTTTAGTGAACTCTGGAAACAAACATAATCCATGCTCTTCTACTTTGCCCCAGGAATTCTGGCAGATCACCAACTTTCCCTCTCCTAAAGGTTTCAGGATTCCTCTGAAGTCATTAGAAGTTGTACAGGTGCATATAAGAAGAGGTTGGCCTTGAATGTTCTTATGACAAGGTGCTAAAAGAGTTCTCTGACTTGACTTTGTTTTAGAAATCATTAACTGTTGTACTTGCAACTTCTAAAGCTTGCTAATATAAAACAGTTTTATTATCCATTTAACTATGGTCTTTCAATCTACATTTCAAGTTGTATCTATATTTTTAGGTCCTCGCAATGCTATTCTAGGAATTCTAAGAAAGCCACAGAAAGCATTTAATCTCTTGCAACCTACATAAACATCTACTTGAGTATGCTTTTAAAAATAAAAATAAAATTTAAAAAATAAAATTCAAAAAATAAAACGCCACTATTAGCTACATTTATCAGGCTATATCTTATTCTGATATATGTTATCAGAAACTATCAATATAAACATTAGAGTTAAAAAGCTTATTGATTGTCTTCCTTTTAGTAAAGCTCTATTAAGCAGAGCTCAGATCATCACTATGGCAACCAATAAAGAGGCGAAAGGTCAGCAACCCTGAAAATAGAATACTCTCTATAAAAGTGTACTGCTCTCGTGAAGGTTAACAGCTCTCAGAGATGTTTATTACAGATGGGCAATGTTTCTACTTTTGTGAACAAATTTACTGATACGAGTTAGTAATAAAAAAAGATTACTCAGCTAGAAAAGGCTAGCAACAACATCCAGAAAGAGCTCCTTAAACACTGAGCAATTTTTAAAGCAAACATTTGTAAAACTATCTTCTAAACCAAATGTTGATTATAATCTCTACAGGAGATAAATGAAGAAGAACTGTAGTCTATACCAAATGAGTCATGGCAAAAGGAAATAGTAGCACAGTTAAGAATACATTTTAATAAGTTACCTTTGATGAGCATATTAGTTTTTCTAGCAGGTTTTATATTCTTGATCATAGGAGAACGCTTATTATTCAATAATTTCCCATTTGAGATTGACTGTGCCAACTGAAATGCATTCTCCATGTTATAAGCACCTCCATGGTTTGGGCAGTGCTTCGTTGTTCATTCATGTTATTTCACTCCTTAGAAAATTAAGTAGGATAGAATGGGAATGGGGAAAAGCACTAACCCAGATGGGTGAGAGCCTAGCTCACAAATACCTCCCCTATATAAGCTCTACAATACATTGAACCAAGACAACAGAAGGAAAGGAAGTATTAGCGAGGCAGGAAGAGAACATTGATCCAGATGAGGTAGAAGATTCTGGACATCTGGAGAGAGTCATGTGAAAGGCAGATGAATGTACAACAATAAGATAAGACAAAAGAACAACAACCGAAAAGAATGATGGACGGATAGATGCAATACTCAAAACGAAAAGAAAAATATGGGCACGACCCTCATGATCCCCATGTTTCCTTCCTTGCTGACCTCTTCTCTGTCCTTATTATAAGTTCAAAACTTACTGATGTTTATGAGACTTCTATGACCTTTGAATTAATTAATTTATATCTCCTTAGTATTTGCTATTAGCAGGAGATGGCTTAGAACTGAGTTATGGACTTGATCAATTGCTTCAAATGGCCCATACTGACCACTGGCACGGAAATCTTGTAGAATGTCTACGTTCTATGTAAAGACTTTTTTTTTTACTGTATTTGTATGACCTTCAAGTGACTAGAAACTTAAACATTATAGTGGAGTGAAGAACAGAAACTCTTTGAGAGTGACTGAAGAGATATGCACTGGCTGGACATCTGTTGAAAAACAAAATCAGACAAAGAAAACAGAGGTCTCCATCGAACCAAAGTGAATTTTTTGTGAAATTTATAAGGTTAGTGCTCCATTCCCAGAAGCTGCTGTGGGAAGTAGCATACAGAATTTAAAAAAGATCCAAAAAACCCCTGAAGAAACCCCAGACTAATATTAAAACCACTCCTATTCCTTTTATTAAGGGTTTTTCCCCAACTGAAAAGACACCACCCTGCAAGGTTGTATCCATGAATGTATAAATATCAAGTCTTCAACTGCCTCCCCACCTATTCCCCACAAAAGGGGAAGCATTTCTTCCTCCTGCTTGTAGCCTGTTCTCAGGTAGTAAGCCAACCCAAAAAGACAATGTTCCTTGAGATGCTTTCTGATGGGTCCATTTCTGTCCTGGCACATGGAAGAAATGCCACCACGGTCAACTGAATGATGTGGTCCATCCACCTACCCCATAAACCCTCTATGACACAGGCCTGTGGCATCAGTGAAAAGGCTTTGTTTAGTTTAGTGTAGTTCACAGGCTTCTGGGGCAAAATGTGGAAGTAATGTCTGCAGCTAAACCAAGAGAGAACACATTGCCTCTAAGATGTTCAAAGCTACCTTTTTAACTAGCCCAACAGGAATCATTTCTTTTTCAAAAAACAGAGTGACATGCTAAGCATCGAAAAATCTCCCAAATCTTCATGATGAACCTCCTTTAACCTGCCATTTCAAAACATCATTAAATGTGGATACCATCATTTCAAACATTTGCTTGACGGTAATGAAAATGCATTTTGAATTAGTTTCTTGCTGCTCTCCTAAAAGACTGGATCCAAAGGGATTGCTTTGTATAACTTTGCACTGAGAATGACTCTTGAGAAAAGATCCCAGAAAGTGGGGCACAGTCCACATCCTGATGGAATTTAAACCCTACTAAGGAATACATGATCCATCTGGGGAACAATTCTAAAGCAATTTTGAAAATAAAAAATATGAAGAAAACTATATAGGAGCAAGGGAAATGGGAGGTAAGAAAAGATCATCATGAAGAATTCTATTCTTGATAATTCAGTCTAATATAAAACAGCATGGAACTGCACTTACATGTGGAAAGTCTACAGTGTGAAATAGAATGGGTCTCAGTTGC